ACGTCGATCGACTGAGTTGATCGAGCGCGATCGAGCCTAGTCGGACTCGATCGGGGTCGGGTCGGTGCGAAAATATTCGTCAACACTACATTATAATTTTTTCCCTAACTTCATTGCCTATTATATTTTGAGCAGCATGCTAATTTGGTGGATTTTGATTACTTGTGTACATTGAATTGAGAATAAGGATTCATAAACTTGACCCTAAATAGTTGATAAGGACTCATGTGTGCATTCCTTTTGGTCGTGTTTAGTGTTCATGGTGACTTTAAAATGGTGCACGGTTAACCAAGTCTTTGGTGAGTCTAAGAAACTGAAGCATAAACATTACCTTTGATGACAGAGATAACTAAAGCTATTAGACTCCAAAACTTTCCTAAGAAGCACATTTAGATGGTGCTCTCTAAGAGATGTATCAAAAAATGTTTGAAATAAAAAGTCCAACAATATGATCTTTTAAAAAGGTCCAATTTTTCTTTGCCGCTTCAACTTCTATGTCAGTATGAGGTGCTATGTAGTACTTGAAGGCATTCAACCAAGGGAGTAAATGATGCACCACTGATGACCAAAATAAGTGTATTCTCTTTTTAAGTAGCACAAGCTTGAATCCAAGAGTCGCTACATTAATGCTCTTACGAAGCATGCCACTATAAAGGAAGATTATTAATTTTGTGTGGAATTTGATTGTATTGATCAATCATGTTGTACTTTTAACTCCAACCTCAATTTTGTCTGTTGATCTCAATGAGGAGATTATTTGTGGGTCTTGCAAGGGGGCAATGTATCCTCTCCTCAAGGGTTCGAGGGCAAAGTTTTCAAAAAAGAAAAAAAAACATTTTTTTTGGTTGGTACAGTGTCATGACGTTGCAAATCCAATGCCAAGGCGCTATAGGTGGAATTCTTAAAGATAGAGAGCACAGCACCACAGCCCTGTAGTTCTATCGACACAGTGCTATAGTTCACAACGCCACGATGCTGCGAGACATAAAAGTCAACGTTGAGACACTACAAGTACAGCCCCGCAGCGCTACGAGCTGAGGCTAAGCAATTTGTCTTCCTTGTTCTTCTTAGATCACTTGAAGGGTTGTGTTTCTTAGTAAATTTAAGTGTGTGTGAGAAGTGAAGAGAGATAAGGAGTGATTGTGAGAAGAGTGATATGTACAATTTCTCCATTTTTCATAGTGAATTTCTTCGTGTGGTGTGGCTCCTTTTTTTCCCGATTTTGAATTCTTTCCACATTAAATCTTGTTGTTAATTTTTTCTTTCATTGCTTTCTTTTTATTGTTTGTATTTAATTGCGTAGTTTCATTTCCAACAAAGCTTAAAGGTAGTAGGGAATATTTTCTTTGTTAAAGGGACCTTGGATATTTATCTTTTATTTTGTAGTCTATTTGTGCTATCTAAGCATCCGTTTCAATCTTTTTGAGGGCAAACTTAGACCGAAAGTTAGTGGTTGCAAACCAATCCTTCTGCCCCGCTTTTCAGTCTTCAAATATGACTTTCACAAGTCTGTATGCTTACACTTACTCTAATAATGCATCTTATAAACTGCAAATGACATCTTTTATGTCGTGGCTTATTATTTCTAGCATTTACTTCAAAAAAAAAATACTTAGGGACTATTTATTGTAAATTATTTAAATATTGAGTCATTTTAATCATTTGGCCTAAAACAACACTACAACCAAATAGCTTAAACCAGCTTTGGATAATGAACAACAACCCATCCGTAGGTTTTTTTTTTAAATAGCATCATTAAATTTCGATTTAACAACTTCTATAAAAGCAATTTTATGCATTAAAATTATTCCATGGCAAATACATACATGTCACCTGAATCTTGAATATTTACAAAACTAATAATCTCCTACCGTCATTCTTCAAGTTTCCACCTAAATATCCAAATTCACAACAAACTCTAACTTATATTTTCACAGTCATTAATTTCCTAATGATTTGATTGCATCACACACAAATAAATAGCTTTGATAGTTCATTTTTAGGAAAAAAAAATTTTTATTGAAAAGTTGAGGAAATATCTTCTCACTGATAAAATAAAAGAAAAATAATTATAGAATTGAAAAAAATAACAATATATCCAGAAAAAATAAGTCAAACAATAGCTCTGAAAAGATCTAGAGGTTCATCTGGAAATATTTAAGTCATCTTCTTCTCGAAGATAACACTCTCCTTGTTACCATGACTAGCATCATCTAAATATGAGTTTGAGACAAAGTATGAACCATATAGATTTATCATCCTTAGAAATAGTTGTAAAGCATACATTGTTTATTTCCCTCCAAGAGTTCTAAATAGGCGAGAGTAAGAAGATGTCCTAAATGTCTTTTGGAATATCCCTAATAAAATAAATAAATCCAAGAAAACAAATAAGAGCACAATTATATAATTGCATTGGAAAGAGAGCAGTCTTCCCCAGATGTTGGAGGTGAAAATACAATTAAAAAATGAGAATCATCCTCCAAAAAAGAATTGCTCATAACTCAAGCTATAGAAATCTGGAAGCCCAAAACATGAGAGAATAAACTTTTGTTAGATCCTTCCCAAAAAAAATAATCTATCGAAAAAAAATTTGTACTTTCAAAGGGGCTAGGATATTCCAGATCCATTTATATGAATAACTACATATCATTATGCACTAGGAAAAGATACATGGTTGACCAAATGAAGATCACTAAAAGATGGAATCCACACCAGATAGTCCAAGTTTTAGTTCAAGCACACAAATACATAGCTTTGATAGTTCATTTTTAGGAAAAAAAATGTTTTTTATTGAAAAGTTGAGGAAATATCTTCTCACTGATAAAATAAAAGAAAAATAATTACAGAATTGAAGAAAAATACCAATACATCCCCAAAAAAACAAGTCAAAGAATAGCTCTGAAAAGATCTAGAGGTTCATCTGGAAATATTTAAGTCATCTTCTTCTCGAAGATAACACTCATTGTTACAATGACTAGCATCATCTAAATACGAGTTTGAGACAAAGTATGAACCATACAGATTTATCATCCTTTGAAATAGTTGTAAAGCATACCTTGTTTATTTCCTTTCAAGAGTTCTAAATAGGAGAGAGTAAGAAGATATCCTAAATGTCTTTTGCAATATCTCTAATAAAATAAATAAATCCAAGAAAACAAATAAGAGCCCAATTATATAATTGCATTGGAAAGAGAGCAGTCTTCCCCAGATGTTGGAGGTGAAAATACAATTAAAAAATGAGAATCATCCTCCAAAAAAGAATTGCTCATAACTCAAGCTATAGAAATCTGGAAGCCCAAAACATGAGAGGATAAACTTTGGCTAGATCCTTCCCAAAAAAACATAATCTATCGAAAAAAAATGTACTTTCAAAGGGGCTAGGATATTCCAGATCCATTTATATGAATAACTACAAACATCATTATGCACTAGGAAAAGATACATGGTTGACCAAATGAAGATCACTAGAAGATGGAATCCACACCAGATAGTCCAAGTTTTAGTTCAACCTCATCTTGTTGAACTCACTATAAATATTAAAGAAATAATTTGACATGTAAAAATGGGTGATTTCTTTCCAGTGAAGATGCCAACCTAAAGAATAGAGCTATTAAGATTTAAATAAACAAATTGGATTCCAAACAAGTTATATATCCAACTGCATTTACAGGATTTGACACTTTCACCTTTTTGAAAATATGCATGGTTTTGGTGGCATGTATTAAGTTTCTCAAGTTTTCATCTAACTTTTCTAATAGCGACAAATGACAAATGAATCCTTAAAAATTTCTAAAACATTTTACAATCATAATGAAACAACAAAGGTATGCAACTTCAAACAAACTTGGGTTGCCCATACGATTGCATGCGGCCAAAAACTTGCTAGTTTTTAAACCCATTAAATTATAAGAATTGGTTGGAGTCCATGAAAATTGACCACAAGTCCAAAATTTAAATTCACGTGTTCAAGGAGCCCATCATACATTCATACATATATATAACCCATGAAAGAAAAAAACAACATACATAAATTATAAAAATAAGATGGTTGTTAGAATATAAACGTGAAAAAGACTGCAACGAAATTGCAAGTTTGAGCCCATCTATAGTTTAGCTAAACAAACAAGTTATTGTTTATCTCAGATTTTCTAACAATAGAGAATGTTTGTAATTGGCCAACATTCATAGTTGTACATAATTAAAGTTTCTTCTTAACAGTTGCAATGTTTCTAAACCATTAGTAAAACCCAACTTTTTATATGATCAGCATTTTTCTCTATTAGATAATATTACAAAAACTAAATTATCTGATTGATGCATATTACCCTTATTTTTACTATATGATCAGACTTGACCACGTACTTCTTACACTAAAATATCTAAGGCACTAAACATATCTTACATCCCTAAAAACAACTGGCATTGCTAGCAAAGAATGAAACTGCAATTGATTAATCATCAACATTTCAAAGATTCTTATTCCCCTTCCGAGCAACAAATCATGGTCAATATGAATATCAATGACTCCTAATCAAAAGGTCACCACTATCCTCCAATTTAGTAAAATCAAACTGGAATAACCAACTGGCACCAAATTAGGATTCAGATCAGCAAACAAAATTGAATTTTTGGGGGGATCCGGACCTCTCATCTCTACATGAGATGGAAGGAATTCTAACCAACTACTCTTAGCAATGTGCTCGCCCAAAATATTGAAATTTTGAACAATAATAGGTACTTTTCCGGTGGTGATCCAGCTTAAATCCCAACCATTATGAATAAAAGAGAATGCATATTTTCAGGGTAATTTCTCACTACTCTGGAACTGATCTATACCTGAATAAGCTAATGAAAACATCATATTCTATTGTTTTTTAACATAGAAAGTCAATTTATATATAAGAAAAGTTTGAAAAGGAGATCAATACATCGATTTCCTCTTTTCCCCTGACCAGTACAGATACAAGAAAGTCTCCGATGGAATCGATTAAAGGCCGAACCTTTTGGTAGTCTCGAGCTGCCGCTGCCATTACATTACCAAACGCCAAATTGGACAGCGTCGATCGAAAAGATTCAGGATCCATCCTTGCGGGTGCACAGGATGAGTTGGATAGAGGGGCAGTGTCGAGGGAAAGCGAGCAGGTCTTGTCGGCGAGGTGTCCCGGAAATGGACGAGGGAGGTAGCGGTTCTCTGTGCTCAGTTGCGGAAGAGTAAGCCGAGCCCAGCGGCAGCGACCGACGCGTGATGACGAACGATGTCAGAGCCTTGGCCCAGTAATTGGAGTGAGGCCGCGGATGCGAAGGGGAGCGTCGTAGGGCGCGAGGGTTTTCTTTTTGGTCTTGGCGGATGATCCGACACCACGACAACTAATTGATCTACGAAAGTAAAAGCTTTTTCTTTTGGAATTTAAAAAAGTTAACACTTTGAATTACCCTATTTATATATTGAACTCTTAAATTTTAATATTTATATTGCAATAGGAAGTAACTATCCACAGTTGCTTAGCTTGGTTGGTAGGCGAGTGCAGTTGGATACCTCCCAACCTGTGTTCGATTTCTCTCGAATGGTAGCGCCTCTTCAGCGGGGGTACAATCAAGTATGAGGCAAGAGGTCTTTCAAGTCAACCGAGAATTAGTAACACAACCAAACGCCTCGCAAGATGAGGTGGGGGGTGGATACCCGTTCCAAAAGAAAAAGTAACTGAATGTCACTAGACAACAAAGTAGATATGAGAAAATCAGGAAAGAATTTCACTAGAAAAGCATTAATATGACCAACAATATCTGAAGGATTAAGGAGAGATGATATATTTATAATGGGGTCTTGATGTGAGATACTTATCTATAGGAGCAGCGTCATCTCAATGAAGAAGAAAAGAAAAAAATGACAATGTAATCTCCCACGAACGAGTGATTAGATTATTAGCATGTGAAAGACGAGGAGTTCGATGACATAATTGCAATATAGAGGTTAAAGAGGGTGTTATTTTTTATATTATTTAAATTATCAAGTATGGTGTTTGTAAATAATAAGAATTGTGTGTTAAATATGTATACAATATGATTTTGAATGGTATGTATGTAAATCCCCCTTTTTTAACTTGGCGTTCAATATATCCCTCACATACATGTCTTTATTTAATGCTTGGTCTATAGGAGGGAGAATAAGCACCAACCACTAAGTTGAGGGATGTATCAAGTATGATAAACCACAAATTAGCTTTAAGCAATATCAAACACCTCAAAAACATCAAAATTGTATGTAATTTGACTTCAGTAAGCTTATATCTACATAGATGGGAGATGATCTAACACACAAGAAACAAGTTATAATTGTGTATAGAATAAAATGATGCTCGTCAATTCTTCTTAAACCCCAAGTATATCTTAGCATATCAAAGAAAATGAGAAGCCCTAAACCTCACTTATTAAGAGAGAAATAACTTAAGAAATGTAGGATTAAAAAAGAATAAAAAATAACCACTCCAAAATCTCCTAAAAAAATCATCAATTCGTCAAGATAATACTTTAAACTCTCCCATGAATAAATTTCATGTGAATTCTTTCTTCTTCTTTTTTCTCCTATCTTCTCTCTTATCTCATTTTCTTCTCAATTCATTCACATACCCAAGATTGTCTTATATTTCTGTTGTCATAACTAAAGCAAAATCATTTTACATGTTATCAAGCTTTCACATAATAAACTTGAAACCTACCTCATTGCGTGATTTAGATATGGATATTAAGTCATTATCTAATAAATCACTTAATTTATGTTAAAGAATAACCATGTAATTTCCGCATAATTGAGTCATTACAAATAAATTCCCCCCTTAACTCAATATTATCATAAAACATGGATCTTTTATATACTCTTCTCAAAACCAATACTCTATGCTCTCAAAGCCCCCTTTGGGATCAACACTGCACAATCTTATAAAACTTAAATGGTGACTAAGTTTAGAACCTACGATATATATGTAGCATAAATGCTGAATTCTGTAGTGATACATTGAGCATAATTATGCATTTATTGCTATTTTTTAATCCATGAAGTTGCTATTTCTTTGTCCTAAATGATGCAATGGTATAGCTTAACATTAGGATAAATCTTGCAACACAAGGTTGATCCTCCTTATCATCTCCAAAAAAACCTCTCTCAACTCGTGCATCTTTTTGTTCTAGAATATTTAGTAATAAAAATAAATAATATTCATGAACTCATTTAGAGACCTCTTTATGCCACGATTATAAGGAGACCCATTGTCATAAGATTTTCATTGATTTCATCATAAATCTTTAGCTTATTTATCATCTCACGAGCTTATCTATCACCTTCTTTCAAAAAAAGAGAATTCTCTTGACATTCTCTAGATTTATTATACCATGTACATATAATATGATATCCTAAAAGTGACTGTAAGCGGGAGGTACGTAACACAACAATAACAAAACTTAATTTCCATCATCAACAATCACATCAATATTTTTCAAATCTCACATAATGAAACTCATTCATATCGGATTTAATAGAAGCACTTACATGCATGTTGAGTAAATAGTCTTTGTTTATGATAAGTTTATTGGACATATTACTTGTCATGTATAAAAGCTCCAACGCAAGCAATAATCTTTATATGATTGTTTCCTCTAAGATCTATGTCAAAATCTTGTCCGCTAAAAACTATTGAATTATGTGAAAAACTTCTTATCCATCATTATCTTGTTCTTTTAACACCTATTTAAGTTGCGACTCATCAGCTTCTACCAGCTTTTATAGTAGAGACGGTAACAATGAGATACACAACAGTGACAATTAATGTTTTGTTTGAGACTGTTTCTTATTGTTTTTTTTTAATTAAAATTTAAACACAAAAATTTATTATTAAAAAAATTTATATGCTAAAAATATATTTTATAAGTGATATATCATCAAAGAATTTTCTTGATCGGGCACGAATCTCAAAGCAAAATCAAGTTGGAAATTTAAAAAATTAAATCATAAACCATATGAACTCCGATTTCAGCAAACTTACAGCCCAAATGAAGGTATCGAAAATACGAACTCAACACATCTCTCCTTGGCCTATTGGTTGAGAGCTTTGGCTTCCAACTAAGAGGTTCAGGGTTCGAGTCTATGTGTATGCGTTGTGTGTGTGAGTTTGCCTTAAATGGCCTAAATGTCCCAAAAAAAAAAAATACGAACTCAACGACACCAAACTCAACCCAATCCGAGCTCAAATAGGTCCAAATCAAAGACCCAAAATGCATTTGAAAGTTTCAATTCATAATTTGGATTACCAAACAATTTCTAAACTTGACATGCTTGTAGTCGAATCGAGCGGCTCGACGAGACGAATCCAACAATCCCAAAATTGTCAAGTTGAAAATTGTGTTAAGAAGTAGTAAGAAAGCTGTCCCAAACAAAGCATAAATCTATAATCTATTATTGAGTTATCTCAAAACATTAAAAAATTTTCAAAATTCTTTATTTTAAGCTGCACTTGCCCAAAATTATTTTTTGGAGGATTAATATTAAATATATTTTTAATAATTTTTTGACTTTTAAATGAATTATATTCAGATTTATATTTAATTTTAAATTAAAAAATTCTTAATTGATATCTTAAACTCCCAACAACTGTCAGCTTAATTTATTCTATTGGGCTAAAGTTTAATCAATAGCCATCCGTTTAGTGATATTAAGCATTCAATTTGAATCGTATATATTAATGTATTTCTATTCTAAAACTATATATTAATGTAAGTAAAGAAGAAAGACAACAAAGGCGGCTTTTAGGGTTCCGATATCGCAATTTCCTCCGACCGTTTTGTTCTCCCCACATCGTAACCTTAAAGGCCTCTGCAACTCCTTGATCCGCCAGCCATTAATGGCGGCGGCCAATGATCAGGATTCAGGTACTTCCCAGCCGTTATATGCGGCGGCCATCTGCCGCGTGGCCGTGGCTCAGATCTGCCTCAACGCCGGTTACCGGAGGGCAGAAGCCGCCGCACTCCGAGCCCTCACTGATATCGCCATCCGCTACATCAGAATCGTCGCCGGAGACGCCGCATCCGCCGCCAACTCCCGTGGCCGGACGCAATCCAACATCTTCGACCTCGCAATTGTCCTCGAGAGCGCGGCCACCGGCCGCGGCTACGCCGGCGCCTCCGACCTCACTCGCCCGCTTCTCGGGTCCTCAGTACTGCGCGAGCTACGAGCCTTCGTCGCCGCCGTCGACGAGATCCCGTTCCCCCGGCCTATTCGCCGGCAGATGGGGACGGATAATACTAGAAAGCCGAGTCCGAGTTTCGCGCAGGTTGGGAAGGAACCACCATTGCCCCACGTGCCGAGTTGGTTGCCGTGTTTTCCCGAGGGCTGGGAGAGAGAGACGGATTCACCTGAGGTTTTTGACAAGAAAGTGCAGACGCCGGCGATGGAGAAGGTGAAAGGGAGGGATATGATGATAGAGAGGGAAAGAGTGAGATTTAGGTTAGGGTTTGGAGGCGATAAAAGGAACGGGAAGAGGAAAAGAGATGGGGGTTGTGAGAGGCGAGATCTGGCGGAGGATATGTTGTCGGGGTCGTGATTCGAACTGTGTTTATTTGTGCACACATCAAAAGGATTTTTGAAGAAGGCGTCGCCAGTAGAACATACAGTGATAATGTACCTATATGGTTTAATAATAATTTATTTGCTTCTTTTTTGGGTTGATTACTAGGAATCAAATAAATCAATTGGGGTACTGAAGACAAGATTCTAAATAATATAATTTTTTTTATTATTGTCAGAAATAAGTAATAAAAAATGATGATAAATATATTTTTATTTCTATCTTTTTTTTTTATTTAAATAAAGTTGTTATATTTCATTAATTAAAAAATTAATCTTAAATTTTAAAATAGCTAATTGAGTGTAAGAATGCACCCTTGTCCTTATTAAGTTGATTATATTGAAGGATTGGTGAAGATTTTTGTTATGACGGAGAATTTTCTTAACATCATTTTAATTATTAATGATGAGAGATTTGCTTATCAATTGTCCTAAGCATCTATTATTTTGTTAAGAATGCATATGGTAATGTGTAGGTAGATTATTATGGTTTTCAAAGTATGATCTATTTGTAGTTCTATGCTTGATTAGATTCAAAATAATCGTATGAGAAAACACACTCTATGATTTTGAAGATAAACTCTTATTAAAGAGCCAAAATTTTAATTAATTTAAATATTTTACTTTGAAATTATTACATTATATAAAATTAGTAAGACTTAGAGGATGGTTGTTCAAATATAGATGATGAATTATGTTCAGCCTCATAATTGAAGAGGACAATCCCCATAAAGATACATTAATGTAGATTTTCAATTATACATTTGATTTGACCAAATTAAAGTTTAGCCTTTCATAGATGACTCAGTACTATGAGACAACGAGCAGATAAAGAACAAAAATAATTGTTTAGGTTTGAGTGAGGAATGAGAAGAAGTGCAATGCTACTCTCTAATGCAAGCACACTCATTTCCTCATAGGATTTTAGGAGCCTTTCATGTTGGTGAGGGCTAGCCACATATTGGTAGCAATGATGGGAATCCATATGGCATATATACAATGGGTTGGAAACCATATGTGTGTGGGTATGTTGCTTTCATATAATGGAATCCCTAATTTCTAACTATGAAATAGTAAAAGCATTTTAGTTTGTTAATGATGTAGTATTTAAGTCTAAGGAAGGATTGAATCCAAGAAGAGACAATTTCTAAGTGATGGATTCATCTAAGAAGACCAAGATAAACTTTTGGTTGATAGAAGAATTCAATTGTGAAAACAAAAAGAATTTTCTTTGATGAAGGTTGTTTCCATTCATTGGTCAGAGTTCTTCAATAGCTTAGATTAAGATTTTGATTTTTTGTTTCTTTTGCGATCCGATGAATTTGTGAAGAATATGAATACTAAATTTTAGTTATCATATGTAACAAATATAAAATTGATAAGTACCTAAATCAACTACGAATATCATATTATTTACTTTTAGTGTTTTTAATATATTGTCAGCACACTTTTTAAAAAATTCATAAGATATTATTTATGCATTGGCAACAATTTTTTTGTTTAAAAAATATTTATATCTTAAATTTTGAGTTATATTATTGAATATAGAGATATCAAATGGGAATTTACTATCCACTACGAAGAAAATAGAATTTAACTATCTTATTGAATTTTTATCCGATTTTTAAACATATATAATTTAGGGGAAGACTTATTGAGCTGAGTAATATGCTCATTAGCATTTCTATATGGTGTGATTTTGATTACTATAAATGATAGACCAGGGGGACACGATGCGAATGTGAGCAACATTAACCGTTGAGAACGGGCTTCTAAAAGAATTATCAAAATGCCAAACAATACCATTAAAATTAAAATAATATTTTTCTATGCAATGTCTCATTATTGCATAGTCATACATGTATTCAAAGATGTCCAACAAGTGCTTAATAGAATTTCCCAAAAAAAAAAAAAAAAAACAAGTGCTTAATAGGTTTTAACAAAAAAAACTTAGACTTGGCAGATCCTAACAATAAAGATTACAGCAAAAATGGTCATTTTCTTCTCTCAAAGTGGTTGATTGAAAATGGCTGTGACTCAACTCTGCCAAGCCAAATGAGAAGGCCATCCTCAATGAAAATCTTAGAAGATCACATAGAACCCGTCAAGCTTTAACAAATATTAACTAATTATAAAATATTTGTTAATTACTATGACGAACTGATTGGAACTTTATTTATGTTATGTCAATTTCATAATTATTTTATGTATAATTTAGTTAGTAAAGCTACTTTGTTTTTGACATTGTAAAACACAGGTTGAAGTATGATGATTTTATCCTCTCTTTCATGTTATCAAAAGTGAAATATACTTTTCCCTTTATTAGTTTTTCTGCCATTTAAAAATTAGGATATTAGATAAGTAAATATAAAAAAATTTATTGTAGAATAAAAATTAACATAATTTAAATTTATATAACAACGGTTT